TGTTCTAGGACATGCAGGTCCCTTTGCATACCATTAGTTCTACCATTATGTCTCATTAATTCTCCCGCATCATCTTTCAACAGATAACAGCTAATTTCCCCCCACACCTGAACCTATGAAATCAATCTTAACCTTTTTGTAATCAATGCTACCCCTCCTGAGGGCCCCTCCTGTAATAGATAGCTACCACGTGTAGGACTGGCCTTTGTGTGCATTTATGGGCACTTAGGATGGGGTGCTGGGGTGGCTCTTGTGACAAGGGAGGAAGCTTCTCGGTGGGGCTTAGGCTCCAGATGCAGGCTGCCCAATAAAGTAGTGGGATGCCAAGCTGAAAGACCCTTTGACCCCATTATTATGGCTGGGATTAGGGGTAGTGGAGGCTGCCCACACTCAGCTGCAGAGCTCTGGCCATCCCAAGGAAATTCCATTGATCTACATGAGGAAAAAGCCGGAACGGGGGTTGGGTGCGGGCAGATGCTCAGCAAAACCAAGCAAAGCAAGGAAGGGTCATGTCACATGGTGGAAATGACCACAGGCAATTATGTGTACGTGTGAGTGTGGATCTGTGTACATGATGAAGCGCTGAGTCTTTCTCAGGCCCAGGAAGTAGCTAGTCCTTTTAACTGTCACTCATAGTCAACATGTAATGAATGAGATTATTAAACTCCTATTAAACTAGCTTTGTGGGCAAACGGGAATGTTCTTTTGTGGCTGTATTATTTGATTGTGACTAGTGTGATCCCAGCTATCAGGGAACGTCAGAACTTTGGCTAATGTTTTGCTAAGGTTCTCTCAAAGTCCTGAAAAAGCATTCCCTTAAAACAGAAAGTTTGTTCAAAGTTAGCTGGTCTTTAATAATGTTCTCAAACGTTAGCACAAAAGCATTATTTATACATCATTCATGGAACATTTTTCCCCCCCCTGAAATATTTGAGTTGAAATGTTACTACTTGCTTTCGAATACTCAGAGAACATTCAAAAGTAACTTTCTCATAATGTTTGCATAACCTAGCAAAAACATTTTTAAAACATGAAAAAAAAAACTGGACCTAGAACACTGAGAAACAACGTTAATGGGAATGTTAGCAAAACATTCCTAGAACATATTTTTATTAGTTGGGATGTGGCCCAATGAAGCTTTCTGTATGTTATTGTCCATTTTTGATACGCTTTATGAGCTTAAACCTCAACAATGCAATTGATAGATTGGTTATCAGCAGGGGTTTCCTGCAGGCCTGCCTTAATCACAGGATTACATTTATATCCACTTTCCCAACAAAGAGTCTTGCCCTGTCGTACCTTGTTGTATCACTGTGGTCCTGACTAAGTCTCTTGTTTAGCTTGTGAACGTGTTTAAGATAGCTTTCAGTTTAATTGCTATGAGATACACACTGCTGAAAATACATGGAATGTTGGCAAAAATATATCATTGCATATATTAATCTATTTAGTTCATGCGACTTTTCCACTCATCCGCCATACTTATGACAATTTGTGGAACAAAGTAATAATGGCAGTGAATACAAAAACACAAACACCTTATAAAACAGATCTTATTAAGTCTAACATTCATTGACATTTTAGGCTCATTTTAGACAATCCATCTCTGTATAACCGAGAGTGTGCCAAAATTAATAATGCACAGATTCTTGCTGGATTGTCACCCTAACCCTAACCCTGGGTTAGGGTCACAATCCAGCAAGAATCTGTGCATTATTAATTTTGGCAGACTCTCGGTTATACAGAGATGGATTGTGGGTTAAATTTAAGTCCACTGATGTTACATTCAGGATCAATGCTAACTTGAGATCTGTTAAAATTTATTCTGGGACCTGGTATGGATCAAACCTAATGATCAGCATTGTTTCTTGGTGTATTTACTATGCCCCTTTGATGGTCATAAATATGGTGAATTATTAGAGAAAAAGTCATTGATTGGAACAAATGAATAGAGAAAACTACCGAATGTCTTTCACTCACTTACAGGTTGTAAACTAAGATATAAAGATGCAGTGAAGAAGTATGAATGGGTTCTTGGTCAAATGTGGCATGGCACATGATGCAAAATGTATAAATAGTTATTTCAAGTATTAATAGTTAGTATATCCAGAGCTGCTAATTGTGAATGTTGACAAGATGAAATAGATTTATAGCAGTAGCATAGTCTTGGTTTGTGTTGGTTTGATTCTTTAGAGAAGATATTTGTGTTCTCTCCTTCTCTTTAAAGTTCCTCTCATATTCTAAGGGGATTTCTTAAAATGTAGTAATGAAGGAAATGAAGGATGTCTGTCAGAGTTCCTGTGGCTGACCCATTTGTTACCCTTAGAAAATGATATGTGGTTGTATATGAAGATGTCAAACATAATCTTAAATGACACATCTGCATAGTGTTATAAAGCCATAAAGCACGTTGGGTATTGGGTTGGATACTAACACAGCGTAGACATTTAATTAATTTGTTTTCTTTTCTTTTCCAAAACGGCTCATCATTCAAGTTTTATCTGAAAAAGACCATTTGTCACACTCTAGTGAGATAAGAGTAAACAAAAACTATGATTCTGCTCTCATGGCAACATTCACATCTTCAACATGACAATACATGCGTATTGCTTGTGTGATCAGTCTTATTTGTGTGAATGGATATCATTTTTCATGGTCTGACTGTGGATCAGGAGGGCAAATAGGAACTTTTAGTTCATAGTGTAACCTAAATCATTCAATTTGAGATGCATGAACAAAACGGGGCCAAATGCAATTCGGCATAGAAACGCAGTTTAATAGCTATTGCCTTTATGTATGTATGTATTTATTTACACTATATAATTGATTGTCTGTTCGCAGCCCTAACAACAATGGTTGATCATAGTAGTAGATATTCAAGTATTTTCAAGTAGTTTCATTCATAATGATAATTTATTATAGACTTCAGGCAGGGTTTTTGACTAAAATGAGAAGAAAAAAGAAAATCCTCCCTGCCCACAGGGAAGCAAATACGTCTGACTGCTTGCTGATAGCCTCTGTCTCAATCCTCCATGAGTAAATCTGTCTAAAAACAGACAGTGGTGGGGGGTGGGGGGCAGAGCATGAACAGACTCACAGGTAAGAGTGATGATTCACGTTCAGTCGTTCAGGGCTGAGATAATGCTCAAAAATGTGAGGGTGCCTGTAAGTTCAGCTTTGAGATGCATTACAGGACATCTGCGCTACCAGTCACAGTTTGAAATAATTGGGATTTTTTTTTTTTATGTTTTCGAGTCTCTTGTACTCACAAAAACTGCTTTTCAAAAATAATTTATTTATTATATATTTATTATATTAATAATTTTTTTGTACAATTTTTCAGTTTTATATTTTAGTATATTTTATTCCTGTTATGGCAGCCGTTATACTCCAGTCTGGGGCCAGTAATTTATTTATTTTTAAGAAATGAATATTTCAAGAAATGAATACTTTTATTCAACAAGGATGCATTAAATTGATCAAAGGAGACAGTTACAGTAAAGATAAATTATTAGTACTTAATCACCAATAGTAATTGATAATAAATCAGCATATTACAATTATTACAATAATTTCTGAAGAATCATGTGTTAATAAATGTCTGGAGTAATGGCTTGATGAAAACTTACCTTTGCCATCACAGAATTAAATTACACTCTTTTCAATTGTAATATTTTACTGTTTTTATTGCATTTTTTTTAATCAAATAAATACAGCTTTGGTGTGCATGAGACGTCAACCAAGAACATAATAAATAAATAAAATATTCCAAACTTTTGAATGGTATTTAATGTATGTTACTCATAGTATATGAACAACACAAAGGTTTTTAAAAGAAAAGTTATTTTTACTTACCTGATGTCTTTCAAAACTTTTATTACTTGTAATCAAGTGAACAAGTCATGTGAACAAGTTTTATGATGATTTTAAAGTGCTTTTTTGTCCTTTGAGAGCTTGACAACCTGTGGTCACCTTAAACTTGTTGTTAGAGAGCGGCTCAGACAGTTGGATTAAATTCTCTTTTGATGTCATGAGGCTGAGTAAATGATGACAGAATTTTCATTTTTGGGTGAACTGTACTAATTATAGAGGGTACTGCAACTTTTGACTCTGCAATAATTTTTTGTATCTATTCAACAATAAGAAACTATTTGTCAACAGCAGAGTGATACGTGTTATGCTATGTAGTGCTATGACGGCTCACTAATGAATAAACACCTGTAGAGACAGAAAAGTCTACACACTAGCATCTGCTTGCATATAAAAAAAGGAGTCGTATTTTCTGTAATAAGTGACAGCATGTCACTGATGCCATCATTATTGTAATTAACCTGAGCATTCCTTTAAAATAGCTATTCTAACTATGGATCATCAGTAGACTGCAAAATTGGGAAAACATTTATCTACTATAAATGATGTGATAATATAATACTAATATTACACAGATTCATATATCACACAACTGAATTATTATATCATTGTATTATCATTTATTCATACCTGTTAGAGTGGAAAATTCATGGAATTGTATGTCAAGATGTCAATGACAAAATCTTGTAAACATTGTAAACCAGATAGGTACATTAACAATGTATACAATAGCGACTGGTAACATTTGAACCATTGTTTAAATTTTGTGGTTGCACGGTTCAATATTTATCATACATACAGATATCACAGTATAAACCTTTGAAACACAATAGCAGCAAACAACATGGATACACTGTACACTACATCTCAAGACAGACAATATTACAGCATTTAGGATTGATAATGAACATACGCTACATCTGAAGAGAACACTTTTCCCATTTCTTAATACTTGGATATACTCAGCATTTGGACAAACTCTTTTGTCCAAACACAACTGAGTTTTGACTGTGCATTTTAGATTTCGGCAGATAGTATTACACTCTTCAAAACAACCCAATAGCTCGGTTTGTCTCTTTTTAACCCAGCGCTGGGTTATATTTAACCCAGCATTTTTTAGAGTGTAAAGTTAGTAAATGTGTTTATCTCCAGTCAGTCGGGAACACTGGGGTTTTGAAATGATAAAGAAGACTCAGTCACTCATATGGAGCATGATTCCAACACTACACTGAACATCAGAACCAACCAAAAATGTGCATTAGAAAACCCAAAGTTGCATGTTAAACTAACCAAAACGTGATTATAATTCCAGCATTATAAACCTCTGATATGGTGTAGCTAGCAACTGATTGTTTTAAGGCAAAAAATTGCCTTATCAGTTTTTCCAAGAGCTATTTTCTATAATAGATTGAGATATGATGATGACCCTGTCAAAATTATGACCCTGAAGTGTTCGGCTCATGAGTAATGTGTATGGTTTGGCAGTGCAAATAAACATCAAACCCTCTATGCTAAGTTATAATATCACATGACTGGGGCCCACTGCCTCAGAAGCACAACACTATATGTGCTAGTATTTTAGAACCAAAGTGCATTTATGATTATGCCTATACACTAGGCCAAAATCTTCCAAAAATTCTGACTACTTTATTACAGCCTGAGAGGCATAGTGATAAAGTCCAAATACAGTTCAGAGTGTTTCAGCCCTTCCAGTCCCAGGGAATACACAGATCCCCATCCTGCATGACTGAATAGAAGTGAGAGATGCAGAGATGAAGGCCCTGCATCTGAGGGGATCTCTCCTCCATCAGACGCCTGCAGCAGGGGATCATCTGACTGCTCGACACACTGGGCTCTTTACACAGACTGTGCAGAGACAAATCCTGCAGACAACTGGAAATGATGTCTTCTTCCTCTGCCTCCAACCTGCATAGAAGGGAATAGGATCAGGATCTTAAAAAGTATACATTTTATATATTTTTCTGAGCAAAAAAATAAATACCATACATTTTTCCCTGATTTACAGAAGAGACCCACTAAAATGTCATTCAGTGTAACAATCTTGTCAGGCATATTTACAACAAAAATCAATTTATGACATATTAAAAAGACTGATTACTTTCACCCCAAATACTAATTAGTTGTAATTTGACATTTCAAGGCCTATTTCTCTCAAATATTGTTCACAAATCTGTCTAAATCTTTGTTAGTGAGCACTTCTCCTTTACCGAGATAATCCATCCACCTGATTAGACAGCATGATTATTGCACAGGTGTGCCTTAGGCTGGCCACAATAAAAGGCCATATATATATATCCTTTTGTCTTGTAATCCTGATTATGTTTGAAACAAGAGAAAATATCATCCAGGGACACAAAACATATGCTCCACAGAAGATTTTTTTTATTTTTGACAGTTTTGCTGATCAGGTAAATGTATTATGATTTAATGTTTAGATTGTTGTTTTTGTACCTGGAATACAAGAATAAGATATTGTTAAAAATATGAAAGTCTATATGATTTTTAGTGTAACACTGAGATTTTCATCATTCTTTTTGTTATGGATGACGATTTAAAAAAATGTTTTGCTCTTATGTTAAGTTCCTCATGCTAAACAAGGCTGCATTTATTTGATCAAAAACAGTAATATTTTGAAATATTTTTACAATTTAAAATAACTGTTTTCCATGTAAATATATTTTAAAATGTTACTTATTCCTGTTACTTATTACTCCAGTCTTCAATGTCACATGAAATCATTCTAACATGCTGATTTGGTGCTCAAGACGCATTTCTTATTAATATCAGTGTTGTACTGCTTAATATTTGATGAACAGCAAGTTCAAAAGAACAGCATTTATTTGAATCAGAAAATGTTCGTAAAATCTTAAAGTCTTTTCTGTCACTTTTTATCAATTTAATGTATCCTTGCTGAATAAAAGCATTCATTTCTTCCCAAAAAGACAATAATTCTAATGGCTAAAAATAACCCTTATACTAGGCTAAATTATTGAAGAACACTTCTATTGTATTTTTCTTTTCTTTAGGTATAACAGAATATTCTATGGAAGCCCGTTTCCGCCACTGAATAAAAAAAATACAAAAAAAAGGTTATTGCGACTTTTTATCTCACAATTCTGACTTTTTTTTCACAGAATTGTGAGATATAAACTCGCAATTGCGAGTTATAAAGTCAGAATTGCGAGATATAAAGTCACAATTGCGAGATAAAAACTCGCAATTCTGACTTTTTTTCTCGCAATTGCGAGTTTATATCTCGCAATTCTGACTTTTTTTCTCGCAATTCTGACTTTTTTTTCTCGCAATTGCGAGTTTATATCTCGCAATTCTGACTTTTTTTCTCGCAATTCTGACTTTTTTTTCTCGCAATTGCGAGTTTATATCTCGCAATTCTGACTTTTTTTCTCGCAATTCTGACTTTTTTTTCTCGCAATTGCGAGTTTATATCTCGCAATTCTGACTTTTTTTCTCGCAATTCTGACTTTTTTTCTCGCAATTGCGAGTTTATATCTCGCAACTCTGACTTTTTTTCTC